TGTGATGGTGGGGGGTGGGGTGTTGGTGGGGAGGGGGTGAGACAGGAAGGAAATGATCGAAGACATAAAGCAAAGACTCGACCCCAGGAACTTGAGGGCCATGGTGCTGGGGCATGAGACCAAGTCAGGAAGGTCAATGAGGATGGATTAAGGTCTGAAGGAAGGTGGGAGGCGAGAAGCATTCCAGGCAGAGGGAACAGCCCGTGCAAAGACCCTGTGGCAGAGGAGTCTGATGCTTAGGAGAAACGGGAGCACTCTTCCTCCCGCCTGCCTCCTGTACTTCCCTCCCCTGGGACACCTCCTTCTCTGCATGGCTCCATAGAGGTGTGAGAAGCCTCTCCATTCTTCAAAATCAAGCTCAAATGCCTCCTCTTCCCAGAAGCCTTCCATGCTGTGCCTTTCTTCCACTCCCCAGGAAGCAATTGTCTCTCCTGCCTATGATCTCCCTCACCTCCCTGCCCCCTCCGTGGGCCCTCACTCATGCCATCTTGTATATAGACGCTGCCCAGGTCTCATCTCCCCAACCAGGACATAAAGCCATAAGGGCAGGAACTGACTTCTCCAATGTAGACTTAGAGTCACATGCTCCCAGGTTTAAATCCCAGTGAAGGCCATTTAGGAGTGGGACTTAGCAAAGGACTCTGCTTCTCTGGGCTTCCATTTCCTCACCTGGCAAAGGGGGTACTGTGGTGAGGGCATGGGGTGTCGGCACAGTCCCCGGCTGGGCTCTGGGCATCCCCGAGAGTGGGGTGTGCCAAGGGGCTTAGAGCAGAGGAGGGGGAGGGGGAGTTATGATCCAGAAAGCCTCAAGGATGGAGGGCTCACAGGGGCTTAGGCTCCCTTAGACCTGAGTTTCCCAAATTTGTCTGATAGCAAGAAACATTTCAGCCGCTTGATAGAAATGCAGATTCTCGCTTACTCCTGGGGTTCTGGGACGGAAGTTTGGAGCGGAGTCCAGAACCTGCATTCTGAAAAGCTCTCAGTTAGGTGGGGAAAATGAGGCCCAGAGGGAGGGGTGATCTTCACGAGTGTGATAGGTTGGACCAGTTGCCTTAGCCCTTCCTCTCTGTGACAGGATTATGCACCCACACGCTTTGCCAAGTAACTCGGCAGGACTCACTTACTGTGGGCGACTGCACCAAGCAGAGACATGTGTTTGTGAGGCGTGGCTTGGCCCGCCACGTGTGCTCCCACCATTCACCAGGAGAGAAATAAGCCTGGGTGGCTGCTGGTCCAACGAGAACGAGGAGACATATGGAACAGACTGAATCCAGCCCACGTTCTGGAGTCCTGCCCGGCCCAGCCTGTGCAGATTAGCTAAACCCTAGCTGACCCACAGACTAGTGAGTGAGAAAACAAATGTTTATTGTGGTAAATAACCGAGTTGTGGGGTGTTTTTGTTATGCAGCATTATGGCAGCAATAACTGACTAATACACTCAGGTCACCCAGCAGATGAATGGCAAAGCTGGGATTCAGACTCAGGTTCCCTGCTCCTAATCCAGTGCTAGTGTCTTACTGCTTCTGTCCCTCAATCCTGAGGGCTCCTTGGGCACCGTCCTCTCTGGGAGCCCCTCACTTCTACTCTGCCCCACCTCTGTTCTCTGGGGGCTTCTAGCTCCAACAAGCGGGCTCCATTCCAGTAGCCCAGACTCCATCCTTGCTGCTAATATGCCGAGGCTTCTTGAGTAGGCAGTCCCACCCTCAGGGCTCCCAAATGGATTCAGGGAAAGCCTCCCTTCCCCCTCCCCCTCCAACCAGGGAATGAAATCCAGGGGCTCTGGGGAATTCTAGCTTCTCCCAGTTGAAAAGAGTTCCCTCCCCTCCACTCCCACTGGGAGCCTGGCTTCCCTACCTCAGGGCTTTGTCAAGCTGGAGACCTCACAGTGGAGGCTTCACAACCTGTTAGGTGTCTCTGCCAACAGCTGCTGGCTTCTGAGGTTCTCTCAGATTGCCCACCTCGAGTCAGCTCCACCCGGACCCCAATCTGAGCGGGACTTAAATGCACCCATGGCCCTTCAAGAACTGCAGGCACACGCTCAAAAACATGCCCGCTCAGCCACAGCGATACCACAAACATTCACAAACAAAACCACACCACTCCTTCTCAGACACAAACACACAGACAGGCAAACCACGGTCAGACATACAAACTCATGTTCAAACACACCCCCTCCACGTCCCTCAGATCCAGACACACCCACGCTCAGGAATGCATGTGTCAGTAAGAAGTCGCACGCCAAGGTCACAGGCAATCACACACACACAGTCACCCAAACAACAGGACATACCCATACCTTCTCCAAATACACTCCCTCACACACACAATCAGACCCACAGTCACACTCAAGGCTCCTTGGACATATATACCCTGGACTTAGTCCAAGCACTGGAGTCTGTTAGATCTAGTTAATTCCTATCTGTTATCTTCCTGCTTTGTGACTCTACTTTTCTGAGCACCATCTGTAAAATGGGGACACAGATGCCTCCTACTCAAGGAGACCAGGGGATGCAGTGAGGTCAAGCTTGGAAAGCACCCCTCAACCAGGTGGAGCTGGTTGCCCTCTCTCCTTCCATGTCCTATGCATGCCCTCCCCACCCCTTGAATTCCATTTCTTTCGATGGCTCCCTTCAAATTTCTACTGGGCCTTTAAACGACAGGTCAAATCCTGCCTCCTGTGGCAAGCCTCCCCACGCCTCCACCTCTGGATCCCCTGAACAAGAAGCTGGAGAGCCCACTCATTTTCTTTCCTGGAGCCTGGCCACCCCTGGTTCCTCCTTGGACAGGGCCCAGATCACACTCACAGCAGGGGCTTGGCAAGGACTGTTGAGTGACTAACTGAGGGACACAGTCACAGTGCCAACCACAACGTTTTCAACCCACAGGAACCGTAAGGTCCTTGAAAGTCTCACGTGGCCCTTGGCTGGGGGATGAGGCTGCAAGTGTCTCCCGCACGTGGCCACATGGAGGTCCCTGTGACCCTGAGGACAGTGGTCTTGGTGGAGAGATGGGACCGGGCACCTACGTGGAATGGACTGAGGGGAAGCAGGGGCTGGGGGGGGAGACTGCATCGTTTGGCAACGCTTTTTTGCTGTGAAGGAAGGCAGGGTGGAAGATGGAGGGTGGCATGGAGTCACAGGAAGGATTATTAAAGGTGGGCGTAGGGAGAAGGGTTTGGGCGGAGTGAGATTGGAATGGGCTGCAGGTTCAAAGAAAGCACCATGGGAACTGCTAGAGGCCCACCTTCCGCTGTGCCGGAGACTGAAGTCGGGCTGGAGAGAACATGCCTCCTTTGTGGCTCGGTGACCCCACATGACCAAGCTCCTTCCAGGGGACGGTGCACAGAAGTGATGGTGCACCTCTGCCCCCCTTGCTTACAGCCCTGTCCCTGCCCGGGTCTCCTCCCTCCCGCCCCTCCTGCAGGCGGGAGCACAGACATGCTGACTCCGCGTTGCCCATGGAGGCGGGTGCGACAAGCCGGGAGGGGCCCATGTCCCTGGATCTCCAGCGATCAGGGCTTGCCCTGCGAACCTGACTGCTCACTCCTGGACTCCTACGTGAGAGAGAAATGCATCGCTGTCCCCACAGCCACCCAGCACTGGGCCATTTTGTCACAGCAGCTTCACTTTCCCTAATACACGTTCAACAAGTGACAGCAGTTGTTATAAACACCACAACAATGGTAACGCTCTCCCAGGTGGCAGGCTCACAGACACAGCCTTTGAAGAGCGGAAACCGCAGGTGTGAGGGCGTCTTTCACGGAGGCTGGCAGGATACCCAGTTGGCACAGCGTGGCGCCCGGCACTGCCCCCGGAGCCTGCCTGGGAAGCGCTTACCTGCTTGGTTGGTGGTGATGTTCACGGAGGCGAACTGAGGGGAGAAGGGGCTCTGGTCGGTGACGCCGTTCACGGCCTGGATCTCGAAGGTGTACTGGGTGTGGGCCAGCAGGTCGCTGATGTAGATGCGGGGCTCTGTCAGGCCCAGCTGGCGGGGCGCGTACTGCACGTTGTCCCCACAGCGGGTGCAGGCGCCCCGGCCGGAGCCACAGCTCTTGCAGATGATGTTATAGACGAGATCCTCCCGGCCTCCGGAGTCGCGGGGCGGGGTCCACTCCAGCATGAGTGAGGTCTCGTTGACGCTGGAGATCACGGCCTGGGGTGCAGAGGGGATGGCTGGGGAGGGGGAGGGGTGCCGGTCAATGGGGGCTCTGGGGGTACGTTTCTGCCCTGGCTCCAGCCCACGCCTCCCAAAAGGCTTCCTCCAAGTACTTTCCCCTCGTCACCCACCAGAGAGATGTTTCTAGAATATAACTCTCATCCTGTTGCACACCCTTCTCCCTAGACGCCAGCCTCCTCGGTGTGTGTTACCAGGGACAGTCCTTTTGTGTTGGGGGTTTTGCCCACACAACATCAACTTCCCCTTTTCCCTTATAACAGAACCCGATTTTATTCAGGTGGCAAGACGTCCAGCCGAGAGACTGTATTTCCCAGCCTTCTCTGGTGAAGTGCCGGCTACGGACTGTAGTGGAAGTTGGTGGTTAGGACCTTTCCTTAAAAGGAGACAGCCGCAGAGTATCCCTCTATCCCAGCCGTGGGCAAACTCCGGCCCGCGGGCCGGATCCGGCCCGTTTGAAATGAATAAAACTAAAAAAAAAAAAAAAAGACCGTACCCTTTTATGTAATGATGTTTACTTTGAATTTATATTAGTTCACACAAACACTCCATCCATGCTTTTGTTCCGGCCCTCCGGTCCAGTTTAAGAACCCATTGTGGCCCTCGAGTCAAAAAGTTTGTCCACCCCTGCTCTATCCCCTTCCTCCTCTCTGCTGCCTAGAACTTGTGTGATGGCTGGCGCTTCGGCAGCAATGTTGGACTACGAAGAGACCTGAGGGATGGAAACCACAGGCCAGGAATGGCAGAGCAGGAGAGCCAGGTTCCGAGAACCCCATGATTTACCACGCTCTCCCGGGACTGCCTATCCCCGGGCTTCTGTGACGTAGGAGAATAAACCCTGATGGTTTCTGCCACGGGGGCCAGCTCTGTGACCAGCAGCTGAGTGCCACTCCTGTGTGATGCGGGGGCTGTACACTGCCCTCGGAGTCACCCTTCCTTAGAGAACCTCGGCCTGCAACTCGGGCAGCCGCTGCCAGGTTAGCACGCTGGGCAGCCTTTCCTGCCACAGACACCACCTGTGTTGGTTCTTTCTCTGCCAACCCTGCCATTGTCTGTCCTTTTGTAAATCCAGACCTTGACTGTATCCTCCCTGTGACTTCACGGAAGGGGGTGAGGAGCCAGATGCCAGCTCTGTGGCATCTGCACGTTGGCAGCCTGGCCACCCAGGGACTGCCCCCGATGGTCCTTTTCCAACCAGTTTTCCACCCCCTGCTCCCCCCTGCAGGTCCTCCTCACTCAGGAAAGGCTGGCTGTAGCCGGACAGCCGCCCGGCCTTCGCTCTGGGCTTTTCTGCAGGAGACTGTGGACTCGGTGTCCCCCTCAAGGGGCCCCCGACGTACTTGTGCAGGGCATGTCCAGCGGGTCCAGGTCTGCTCGGTAGTAGCCGTTGCGGCAGACACAGTTGGTGGCCCCTTCCGAAGTGGTCCGGCTGTTGATGGGGCAGTGGGTGCAGGCCTCGTCCCCTTGGTTGGCCTTGAAGGTTCCAGATGGGCAACCTGGGAGAGAAGACAAAGAGAGGTGCCGAGTAAACCAGTGGGCTCAGAGAGGACCCCGCGTCTCATGGAGGGGGCACGCAGCATCACGAGGGGCCAGGAGGCCTGTGGAAGGGGCCACGCAGCGTCACTGCTGAGAAACACCATCTCCTGAAGTTCGTGGGGGTCTCCACGCCCCCACGAGGCAGCCCTAGCTGTGCCCAGGAGGTTCCAGGCACCTGCTTTCTTGTCTCTAAAGCTGTCAATGCGTTCAGCTGGGCCCCTGGCAAGCCTTCCTTACTTGCTCCAGGTCGGCTGTGCCACAGCTCCTAGGAGCAACCCTGACTTCTTAGTCTGAAGACTCTGAAGAGGCCCTCCGAGTAAACCAGTGGACTCGGAGAGGACCCCGCGTCTCATGGAGGGGGCACACAGCATCACCAGGGGCCAGAAGCCTGTGGAAGGGGCCACGCAGCGTGACTGCTGAGAAACACCATCTCCTGAAGTTCGTGGGGGTCTCCACGCCCCCACGAGGCAGCCCTAGCTGTGCCCAGGAGGTTCCAGGCACCTGCTTTCTTGTCTCTAAAGCTGTCAATGCGTTCAGCTGGGCCCCTGGCAAGCCTTCC